ATGCTTTTCAAAAATTTTATGTGATTTATTTAAAAATATTCTTAAGGACAGCCATATTTTCTTTGAAAACTGATTTGTTGTAGTCAAAAAGGCCTATAGTCTCCTTAAGTACTTTATGTATATTATTTATTTTCTATCATAAAAGGTAATGTAAAATTAAATATTAATAACTTTTATTAATATCTTAATATTATTTAAAAAATGGTTTCCAAAGTCCTCAGGGACATACAGAAGTTCCTGAAATCACCACACAGTTGCAGAGGCAGGGCAGCTGTTGCAGGGAGCAGGGATCCCTGATGGAGACTGTGTGTGCTGTTGCACTGGAGGTGGTGTTGGATGGGGGTGGGGTGCTGGCCGGTGCAAGTCCAGGTGACTTCTCTGTACCCTGCAAGCAGGAGTAGTGGCTCAGGGTGGAGGAGGATCTGCTATTCTCTGCACAGTGTTAGCACAAGGGCAGGTGTTGGCAGGGGTGGGGCTTGCTGGTTCTGTACCCACCAAGGCTCTGTCTGCAGTGGCAGTCAGTGAGGGTTAGCAAGGGTGGACTACATTCTTGTGTGCTGGCAGGACAAGTAAAGCAAAACCTGTGTGTGCAGACATGGGCCAGCAAAGTGATGTGGGTAGTTGCTGTGGGCTCAGGGAAGCTGTAATATGGGGAAGGAAAGTACTGGCTGCAGTATGCAGCCATAGGGGCCACCTTGCTGGAGCTCTCCACTGATCAGGCATGGTTTGCCAGTGCAGAACCTATGGTGTGGACCCCCAAGGCACCTGAGACTGCCCTGTAAGCAGGCATGGCCAGGCTGGGGCCTGGAAGAGGCCAGCAGACCAATGGGTGCTCAGATCAGACCAGCCCTATCTGATGAACAAGACCTCCCTGCAGAGATGAGGTCCAACAGTTCCCCTACAGCTAAAGTCTCTTATTGGAGCAAGTTGAGCCTGGTGGGATGGCCATCCCTGGCCATGCTGCACTACAAACACTCTCACACCAAACTCTCTGGGCTCCACATCATCTGGTTTGCTGCCCTACTTCTCTAAGCAGCTCTCCCTGCCACCTTAAGTTTCTGTGGTGACTGATGGGTTCCCTCCTTCCAGGGTTCCAGTGGCCCCTGGTGAGAGCAGGTTGCTCCTTGCCAGTTCAACTCACTCGTTCCCCCAAAGCTGTTGTGGTTCATAAATGAGCTTCAGTGTATAGCAGCCCGTATGGGTTTCCCAGCTTTCTCCCCCTTCAGCCAAGCTTCTGTGCCTTCCCTCAGTCCACTGTCTGTGCCTTCCCTCTGAAGACATGTTAAAAGCACTCCAGGCGTCTCAGTTCCTCTGTGGGAGCTGTTCCACTTGTCTGCGTCTAGTTGGCCATCTTGCCCTCCAGTAAAATTTCTTAACCACTCATGTTTTTACATCACTCTGAAAAACATTTAATGGATCTTCATTTCTTTTCTTATAAAAATTATGCCATTTGACTTTCAAGATCTCCACAATTTGTTTATTTGTATTAACTTTGCTTCTTCAACTGTGTTTCACAGAAGCCTGAATTTTTTTCCATCCTGAGACAAACCTATGGCCAAGTCAACACAGCATTTGGATGCCAACAGCAATATTGTTAAGAGCAGTTCTACTTGACCTTGTCCTTTTTTTGAGTAGGAGTTTTTGGCTTTGTTAGCAAATTTCCCAAACTTGCTTATATATCATGCTAGTATTACCTCTTGAAAGCATGAGTTCTACATGTTTATTATTTAACAAATGAATAGGTACCTCTTTTGGTTTATCTAAGCCATGCTCATATTTCAAAGATTTCTCCCATGTTCATTCACATCATCATCCATTCTAGGAACACATGGCCCATTTACACACTGGCATGTAAACTATGTCATGTAAAGTTGTACAACATGGTTCCCTGATTTGGGGATCTGGTATACACACTTGGGTCACCTTAGCCCTGTCTAATATGAGTGTATGAAAGTCTTTATTAAGAGTAAGTGTCATAATACCCCACATCATTTTCATCTTTTACTTGTCCTTCCTACTTTTTTTTTTTTTTTTTTTTTAAGATGGAGTCTCGCTCTGTCGCCCAGTCTGGAATGCAGTGGCATGAGCTTGGCTCACTGCAACTTCCACATCTTGGGTTCAAGCAATTCTCTTGCCTCAGCCTCCAGAATAGCTGGGACTACAGATGCGTGCTGTCATACCTGGCTAATTTTTGTATTTTTAGTAGAGACGGGTTTTCACCCGTCAGGCTGGTCAGGCTGGTTGTCCTTCCTACCTCTGATTTCATTATAGCATTTCTGTGAGTCAGAGATTTAAAACATACAAACAAGGGCTCTGAGGGGTGAATGCACTATAGTTTCCAATATAAGATTAGGGCTATGTTTCTCTTCAGTTTCCATTACCATTCCTGACGATATTTGACATTGCACTGGCCTTTTCCAAAACAAAACATAGGGCTGCTATCCTTCATAGCTAGTTGTGGCATAACATCCAGAGGGCAGATGAAGCTATAATGAAGAAGCACTCTTGACTGTGAGGCAGGAGTCCAGGATTTTGGCCCTGGGTCTGTTTATGACTAATTATGTGATCCTTAGGAAATCATTAATCCGACAAAACTTATGTGTTTTATTGGAATTGTGCTGAATACTGGGATACCTAAATAAATAAGTCACACACTCTGCTTCATGGAGCTCACAGTCTCATGGAAGAGAGTGACAGGAAAATTAGTGATTCAAATAAGGTATAATAAGTGTCAAGAAGCCTGTACTAGATATAGAAGAACAGAAGAAAAACTCTTGGATGAGGCATCTAACATCTGGAGGTATTAGAAGGAGGTCAGAAAGTACTTTTCTAAGAGTGGTGATATCTGAACTGAGACTTGGAAAAACCCGGTTTGTTCATTGCTGTATTGCAAGCCCCCAGAAGAGTACCGGGTACAGGGTATTCAGTAAGCATATGTGTACTTATGAGAGTAAGGAGAGAATTTCATGTAGTTAGAAGGACTTAGGCAAAGATGTGGGGTTGTCAGAAACATGACGAGTTCAGGGAACTGTAATTATGGAGCTCTAAAGTGGACAAAGCAGGAGTGGTTGGGCCTAAGGCTAGAAATAGAGCTCAAAGTTTGGGCTTTTGAATTTTTTCTTGAAAGCAATGGGGAGCCACTAGAAAATTTAAGCACAAGAGTCACACAATCAGTGTTAGCTTGAGGTGCCAGTTACCAATTTTTGCCTCTCAGCTCCAAATTCACCTTGTATTGCCTCCTCCACAAAAATTGAACTAGGTCCTTTAACATTTTTTCCCTTGCCAGTTGTCATAAGCAGTAGCTTTGTTAGGACAGAGCACTGGAAGGACTGGAGGAGGAAGAGGTTTCTCTTAGGAATTTAGGTATGCTCTTCTTGCTAGGCTCCAGGAACTCGTAGTTTCTCCTATGCTGGGATCCTGTAGCAGACAGCTTTTCCAGCATCTGGTTCATGCAGTGTGTGATCTCTTGAGTGCCCAACTGCTGGAGTACACAGTGGCCATCAGTGCCCCATGGCTAGCAGTGTCCCCTGGCACCTCTCTTGGGAAGCTCTATAGCAGAGTGCTGTCAGTGAGTTACCTTTTAGTGAATGACTTCTCTGGTGTTTCAGAGAGTAAATTTTGCCTGCCTGGCACCTCAGCAATTTCTCTGCTCTCCAGCCAGCTGTGGCCATCCCCTCTGCACCAAGCTCTGGGAAAGGTTTCTTCCTTGAGTGATCTATCTTGGGAGTAGTGGTTGCCCCTTATATCTGTGATTCCTGTATATTTTAGATCTCTCCTGACATATTAGCCAATCCTTCATTACTCCAATCCCATCATTAACAATTCTTTATGTTGAACTTCTCTTGTTAAAATTATTATATGCTCAAAAAATTACTATATGATTTATTTCTCTTTGTTGGACTCTGAAACACACATTGACTAACAGTTGTGTGGATGAGCTGAAGAGAGGATGGTGAAGCTTCAGGCAGGGAGCCTGGTTAGGAGAATATGGCAGCACTTTTGACAACTCTCAGGAGCTTCACTGCCTTGAAAAGTCATTGCAATAGGGAGGGATAAAAGATACAGGTATTTAGGAGATAGGATATACAGGATTTGGTAACTACTGAAGGAGGAGGAGGAAGAGAAAGAGGAGGTGGAAAAGAAGGTGGAGAAGGAGGAGGAGGTGAAGGACAGAAAAGTCTAGAGTCACTATCAGTTTTCAAGCTTGGATGACTGGGTGCACAGTGGTGGTACCCTTGTAGAAATGGAAAACACTGAAGGAGGGTCAGGTCAAATTGTCCCCCCAGGTTCCCATTTACTTTCAGGAGTTCCATGCACTTCTGAATCACAAAAAGTTGAAATCGTAGACTCTCTGAGTTGAAGAGGCACCAAAGCCCAGCTTTTCTGTCTTTGGGCAATAAGGGCCATTTGTTCACATCAAAGAAGTGGGAGAACATTCTATCTTAACATTCCTCAATTCTAACATTTTGTAAAGTTCTTTTCCATTTTTAAATCTCTTGATATCGTAGGCCTTCTTCAATTATACATTCCAGAGCTCATCCATACCCCCAACTCTTCCAATTCAATACATTTCCTCTTAAGTGAAACCTACATGCCTCCCAATGTGAAATGGAAGGCCAACATATAACCTACCAAGTGCTGAAGAATGTTGGTCTTAATATAGACTATAGTCTTGTTTCAGGAATCTCTCACTTGGTTTTATTGGTATGGGCTAAACAGGGCTTCTGTTTCATAAATGAAAGTCTCCAGTTACATAAATGAAAGGCTCCAGGGCAGAATCTCAGAGGGTTTCTATGAGTGTCACTTGGAACCAAGCACAGGCAACTGCACATCCCTGTTTGGGTTTGGAATTGGAGGTGGTGGGTTTGGAATGTGGTTACTCTTGTTTGGAATGCATTCTCCTCCTCTTAACAGGTTAATTCTTCCTTTGGAAGTCTGCTCAACCTTCCCAGACCACCCTGTCAGTTCCATTGTACATACCCTTTCAGAGCATCACTTACCTATCGTTGCTGTGATTCTTTGAGTAACATGTGCCTCTCCCAGTAAACTCCACGGCAGGACTGGTCAGTTTTTGCTCACCACACCATCCCAGTGCCTACCCAGTGCCTGGAACTTAGTGTTCAATAGTTACTAGTAAAAATGAACGCATGATAGCAGTCTGTGAGGTGCTAGGTAGAAAAGAATGAGTGATAGCAGTCTGTGAAGTGCTAGGTATGCCCATTGGTCCACCTGACAATTCTCCCAAAGTTATTTTTATATCCCTGTTGCTGATGGAAAAGCAGAGGTGTGGCTCCTCCGTGGAGGGCTCTGATTCCAGACTCTTGAGTCTCCCTATCACTGTCCTCCGGGTAAGAAACCGTATAATAGTATTCTGGGTACAAAATACGCACACAAATTGGCCAGAAAGCCATAATCCCCCACGGTCACGTTCTCTTGAAGATCTTGCCTTCCCCTTGCTCTGTGAACAAGGAGAGGCTCAGAAGCCAGGGGGCGCTCAGAGCCCTGCCCTCCCTCCACTTCCCCTCGGGGTGGCTACCTCAGGCTCGCTCCCAAACTGGCTGTCTGGCCTCAGGCGAGAGGTGTGGGGAGAGACCCAGTGCCTCACACCCTTCTTCTCAAGAAGAGCAGTAGAACCTCGGTGGGGAGGGCAGCAGCGGCCAGGGGTGACAGCAGCGGCGGGGCACGACCGCCGTTAGCGTTAGACGTTAGCGCTCCGCCTTCGCCTGGCAAACCTTGCGCGGGCTCCGCTGCCAGGTCACCCGGGGTAGGGCCGGGCGCGACGTCACAGAGCCGCCCCGCCCCTCCTGCAGCGGCAGGTTCCCAGGGTCCCGCTAGGGCGCTGCTGGCGGAAGCTGAAAGCTGCTTTTGGCTTTGCTGTTGGTGGAAGGATCAGACGGCCTGGAGGGTTAAGGACAGAGCTGGGGGCCTTAGGAAACCCGGGCTGGGGGCGTTGGGGATGGGACGGAATGTGTAGCCATTGACCGTGCGCTTTTGTGGGTGAGAGAGGAGAAGTGGAACTTGATCTTTTGGCTTGTGGAAAGTGGACAGGTGAGAAGTCCTGGGGAATCATAGTAACAACACTTCTTACAATGCTTTTGGTGCCAGGAATTGTTCTAAGTGCATTACACACATGTACTCATTTCATCCTTACTGTCACCCCATGAGGCAAGTACTATTGTTATCCCCATTTTTACAGATGAGGGAACTGAGCCCAGAAAGGTTAAACTTGTCCAAGATGTCAGCAAGTGATAGAGGCAGGATTTGAACCTGGGTTGCATGGTCCCAGATACCTCACTCTTGACCCTATAATGCTAAGAAAGGGGGATGGAGTGGATAGGAACAGAGCCTGAGATGCCTGGGGACAACAGGGAAAGATAGACAATCTTTACTGGATAGAATGTGGTCACTGTGCCAGGGCACTTTTACAAACATGATGACATCAAAGTCTCACGGTAAACTCTGAAGGTAGATATTACCTTCGCTTTGGAAGTAAAAAACAGGCTCAAGGCTTCAAGTAATTTTGCTTGTGATCAAACAGCTGGCAGTAGGGCCCAGCGCCCAGCTTGACTCCAGGTCTTCTGATTTCAAGACTGTTTTTTTTGTTTTGTTTTGTTTTGCTTTGCTTTGTTTTGAGACAGGATCTCTCTCTGTTGCCCAGGCTGGAGTGCAATGGGGTGATCGTGACTCACTGCAGCCTTAATCTCCTAGGTCTAAGCAATCCTCCCACCTCAGCCTCCCAGGTAGCTGAGACTACAGGTGCGTGCCACCACACTAGGCTAATTTTTATATTTTTATAAATGAGGTTTTGCCATGTTGCCCAGGCTGGTCTTGAACCCCTGGGCTCAAGTGATCCACCGCCCCCCCTTGGTCTCCTAAAGCATTGGGATTACAGGTGTGAGCCACCGCACCTGGCCTCAAGACTGTTCTTTCTAAGCACCCAAGGAGGCAAGAAAAGCCCCATCTTTCTCTGCTACACCCCTTGTCACTTCACACCCATTTTAAAACTGTCCATTGCATCATCTAATCCTTCAGTCCATTTATACTACAGTGTGTATTAGTCTAAATAGATTAGTTCACCCAGGGCCTTCAAAGCTTTCTCTGGTTGTGAGATGAAAGCCTTTGTCTCTCCTTAAAGCGATTTTAAGCATCAGTGAACAAGTGGGGACACTAGATTTTTGAGTTATGCATGCAGAAAGCTTTTTGCAGCCTGTTGTCATCCATTTGTAAAGAGGCCACTCTGCTGGCATTTATCAAAATCCTGCAGGTCCTTGCACACCTGGAGAAACCTGGATGATCTGAGAATGGCCACTGCCCACAGGGCAAGATCTGGGGATGAAAGAAACCCAGTCACTGGCTATCACCTGCCTTTCTGAGGCCTCTGTGGAGGGGCTGCCAGGTGTTGGTATAGGCACCTGACCAACAGGATATGCCTTAGGATGGAAGGGGGAGGCTGGAGGCTTGAGGGCTGCAGGTGCATCTTCCAGGATAACAAGAATGCTCTGGTCACTGGGGTTTGTTCTGTACATGCAGATGGGACAAAGGTGTGCCAATCGCTTCCTGCTTTCATGCAGAGTAAATAATGCTGACAGGAATGAATAATAATGATCTTTGTGCAGAAGAAGGGGTTTTTCAGACAAAGCACTAGCAGCTGGAGAGAAGATGAAATAGAATAGAATTTTAGTGTAGCAGGTTAAACACAAGGGAGGAATTTCATGGCACTGTCTGACTGAGGTGGTTTGATGTCTGTCTGTAGGAGGCCAGGCTGAGAGCATAGGTTAGATTATCCTTGATCTGCTGGTCAATAAATATAACAGGATACAGTCAGGAGAATATAATTTTACAGGGAAATGATAATAACACAATTCAGGAAAGTTGCTTTCTTCTAAAACAGAGGTAAGATTAGAGAGGGAGGAGCACATAGATGTTACTGGTAGTGGTCTAGCTCTTGGGGTGGATGGTGGGTTCATGGGTGTTTATTATGTTTCAGTAAAAATATCTCTTAAATATTACAATAAAATCTTTTGTTACATAAAATCTTTTATCAAGTAGGTTACATTGTTTTCTGCTCTTTTCTTGTACAAATGAATATTGACTACATCCTTTCTCATCATTTCCCTTTTTCTACTAGATAATTCCCGTCAACATAAAAACATGCTTCTCCCATCATTTTCCTCTTCAGCGTTGACCCTTTTCTCTGCTTCCCTTTATTGCCAAGTTCTTTAAAAGAGTTGCCCATTACCTGCCACCTCTAATTTTTCTCTTCTAAATTTCTTTTGAATCTACTTGAACCAGGCTTTCATCCCCATCACTCCACTGAAATGACTTGCGTCAAGGTCCCCAATGACATGCTGTTAAATCCAACATCATCTGTCAGCCTCGGCTCAACCTATCAGCAGCATTTGACCCTGCTGATCACTTTCACATGCTTGAAACCCTTTCTTTCCTTGGATTCCAGGACATCACACTCTTGGTTTTTCTCCTTCTTCATTGGCTGTTCTTTCTCAATCTCTTTTGCTTGTTCTTCCTCCTCTCCCTGATACTTTAATCTTGGAGTGCCCCAGGATTTACACTTGGACTTCTCTATCTATCTACATGCACTCTCCTTTTGATCTCATCAGTTCATATTTTGGATATTACATTTATGTCTTTGACCCTAATCCTTCCTAAACTTCCACATGAAGATATCCAAGTTTTACTCCACCTGGATGTCTAATAGGCTTCTCAGACTTGCCACCTAAGCTTCTCCAAGATTCCTCTCCAAACCACTTCCTCCAGGCTTCTCATGTGAAAGTATTAGCCTGTAAATTCGTTACCTTAGGTTAAAACCTTATTATCACTTGCTTTTACTCCTCACACCTTCTAAATCCAATCAGAGCAAATGCTATTGGCTGTATCTTCTAAGTCGACTAAATTGAGCACTTCTCTCCGCTACGATACTCATCTTTGGACCACTACAATGACTAACCCATCTCCTGTTTCTGCCCTTCCGGTGGTCTGTTCTCATCACAGCCGCCTGATCAAATTACTGAAAACCTAAGACTAATCATGTCATTCCTCTGTTTAGAACCCTCAGTGGCTCCACCTTGTCCTGGTAAAAGTCAAAACTTCAATTTGTAAACTCTCTGAACCCATCATTTTCTTTTGCCTGCATTCTTCACTTCCCTCCAGCCATGCTGGCCATCTTGTCATCCTCAGGCTGGGTGACCCTCTCCTCGTCAGACTTGTGCACTTGCATTTCATCTGCCTGGGAACATGATTTCCTCAGAGTCATCCACATAGTTCCTCCTTAGCACCTTCGGTTTTGTATCCAAATGTGACCTTCTAAAAGAGTCTTATCTGAATCTTTTAAGTTGAACACCAATATCCTTTAACTTCTCCTTGCTTTGCAATCAGTACATACCTATGTATTTTTAAATTTTTTGTTTTATTAGGATTTCTCTATATTTTTCCACTGGGATTGATTTCTCTATATATTTTTTGCATGGGATTCTGTTTTTTTAAATTACTGTTTGCTTATTTGGGGAGCTACAGAACAGAACCATGTACACATAATAGGCACCATAAATATTTGTTTACTGAATTAAATTCTCTTTTTTTCTCACTCTCCTTTACATACTTGCCTTATTCTTCCTAGAGGCCTTCTGAAAAATGATACTTCAGTGTCCTTCCTGGCTTCCATGTTCAGTATCACCAGGGACTAAGTTCCTGTGTGACCCAAGTAACCACAGGTCTGGCACAAGTGGGATCCTGACTGCCTTCTCTACCATCTCTCAACCTTATAACAAATACTCAACTGTCTCACTTTTAACTTCCCAGGCTCAGAGAATCAGTTCTCCCTATCCTGTGGCTGGCTTTATATTGTGGCCCACTTTCCTCAGATCTTAAGTATGCCATTTCTAGGAGGCAGAGTGGTCCCTGCCCACCTGCTTGGATCATGGGTAGGGCTGGGGCTGAGCAGTGATGATGGGTACATCACATAGGGACCCAACCAACAAGGGTTCTTACAATTGGAATTTAGCTGTGGTGTGGTTATTAGACTCCCATTCACAGCTAATCTACCCTGTGTCACATAAACTCCTTTCACATATACATTTGCTTTCTTTTGCTGCATTGCTAATTACCACATATACTTGGCTTAAACAGCCTGATTTTATGATCTGTTTCCACAGAGCAGAAGTCTGGTGAATTAAGCGATCCTCCATAAGATCTTGCCCAGCTAAAATCAAGTGTTATTCAGGGCTGTGCTCTCACATGGTATAGGGTCCTCTTCCCATATTCATTGGTTGTGACAAAATTCAGTTCCTTGGGGATCCTTAGGACTGAGTCCTGTTTACCTTGCTAGCTTTTGTGGGGATTGCTCTCAGCTCTAGAGGCTCTCAGTCATAATGCCACTTGGTCCTGGGCTGGCAGTTTACAACACTGATGTTTGCTTTCTTCCAGGCCATGAGGCATCTGTTGTTGTTCTTTGTCCGTTTTTAATGCTCACACCTGATTAGATCAGATCACCCAGGATAATCTCCTTTTTTGGCTAACTCACAGTCAACTGATCAGGTTCATTACATCTGAAAGTTCTCTTTTTGCCACACTGTCTATTAATCACGGGAATGATATCTCTCATATTCACTAGTCTCACCCACACTTACAGGGATAGTGGGATTATACAGGGCACATACCAGGGGGGTGCGATGTTTGGGAGGCCATCTTAGAATCCTGCCTGCAATGTGCCTCTTTGTGAGAAAATGCAGTGAGAAGATCCCGTCATCTCTCTTCAGAG